GTGGCTATCCTTTCGGGTCTGCCTTTCGTAATCATGGTCACTTCTCGCCATCTGGATCGAATCTYTGTTTCCGCCATTCTCAGCAGCAGAACCCACGTTTCCTCTCTTGGTATCTCAGTTCCTTCKATCGTCTTGGAGCATCTTTTCTTCCAGATTACCCATAGCGCCAGCTTTCTGAGTAGATGGAACCAGACTTCCTTGCCGCCTTTGAGATTGTTAGTGTCGTTAGATAGGAGCAGGATGTTAAGGGGGGTTGTAGCCGGGGGGGGTGATGAGAAGAGAGAGGTCCAGAGGACACAGTTTGTTCCAGATCCATGTTGCTACCGTGCAGTATAAAAGGCGGTGGAGAGTGTCTTCCACGGCGTTGTCTGTGCACAGACTGCACATATCAGTGCTTTCGGGGTCTGTGTGTTTTCTTCTCTTGTGGAGCCACTGATTGGTTGGAAGAGAGACGTGTGCTARGAGCCATTGCATGCTTCGGATCCTAGCCGGTCTAATGGTTAGGAATTTAGTCCATGGGATGGATATGGGGGCCGAGGGGCCCAGACTCAGTATTTCCTTCCATTTGCTTTCAAGTCTGGGATCAGGGTCTGTGGTCCGTAGGCCTAGATCATAGCCGAATTTGACATCGTACTCAGCTATTGTCCTCGTCCTCCCTGAGTTGACCTGTTTCCAACTTTCCATATCCATTCTTTTGGGTCGAATTCTAGCTCTGAGATGCAAAGCTCCGGTCGGAAAATCTTCCACGGTTTGGACTTTGATACCCTCACTTTTTTCAGTCGAAAAGTCTCCAGCGACTCGCTCCGCGGGTCGATGTTCTGGGCTTCTATTTCATTTGTGCTGTTTTTTGCTATCGGATACGAAAAAAACTTGGCTAGATAGCTGGCTGGGCTAGTCCTCGCAACAAATCTGTATGCTCTGGTAGGCTGGGCTTGGGAGACTAGTATGCCCCAGTCCCCGGATTTCCAGGAGAATTCCTCTCTTAGGAGGGGGAGCCATTGTGTTGGGATACTATGCTGGATCATCTGTTGCCCACCGTCCTTGGTCTTCTATCCAGATGTGTTTGACCTGCCACACACCTTTTTCTACCCAGGATAGCCATCTGCGGTCCCGTGAGCGCAGAGTCCAGGTCGTACCACTGGGGTCAGTGATCCAGGGGTTGCAGAAGAGAGGTTGTCTTATTACTTCTTCTCTATTATCTGGTGTCCTGTGCTTGCTCGACATCATTTTGCGCCAGGCTTTGATGGTGGGGCTCCAATATGTGCTGGTTGTTTGCGTGGCGGTTATGTCGGGCTGCTCGGGATTGTGCTGTGCAGGGTTTCTCCTGCGTGTTATGTCGGCCTTAATTGTCCAGTCCTTTGCCATGAGCCAGAAGAGGCCGTTCATGTTCGGAGGGGATTTGATGGGAGCTTTTGGTAAGAATCTTGATTATCCATTTCATCTGCAGTGCTATGGATTCTTGTTTCGGGTCGATAATACCGAGGCCCCCTTCCTGAGGCTTCCTAGTGATGTGGTTCCATGCGACCCTGTTGATGCAGGTGGTCCTATTAGGATCACCTGTCCACAGGTAGCATCTCACCCTGTTCTTAAGCTCCTTGAGGTCGTCGTCGGGGGGGAACCAGATTGATGCCATATACCACAGCGTGGAGAATATCGCTGTGTTGACCAGCAGTGCTCGTCCGATTAGGGAGGCCTGGGCGTTCTTGCACAGGGTGAGGCGATTGATTGCTCTTGCTATTAGGTTCTGGCCCATACCCGGCCACACTCCTTCTTTGTTGATCATAATGCCTAGGAACCGTAGTGCTTGCTCACCTATGGTCCAAGTCATGGGTGTGGTTGTGTCTGGTGGTTTGGGGGGGGTACCGTCAGATAACCACCATCCTTCGGTTTTATTCCAATTAACCCTCATTTCTGATGCCAGTTTGAAGGCTTCCATTGCCCTTACCAGTGCTTGGAAAGAGCTGTTGTTTGCTCTAACGAGTACCGTGAGGTCGTCGGCGAACATGAGTGTAGTGGGTAGGGCAAAGTCGTGTAGCGGGTTGAAATTCCGTTCAGTGAGGCGGTCAATGGATGGGTCTTTGCGGAGAAAGGAAGCTATGACTTCCATAATGAATAGGAATATGGGAGGAGCCAGTGGGTCGCCTTGTCTAACTGAACGTGAAATTGGGTAGGTCTTCGACAGGAATCTATTGACCTGGACTCTTCCTGTTGCGTCTGCGTACAGAACTCTCATCCAACTTCTGAAGTTTGGGCCTACACCCATTTTCTCCATGCATGCATGGAGAAAATCCCAGTTAACTTGGTCGTAGGCTTTCTCGAAGTCAAAGAACAAGATTGCATCCTTCATTTGTTTTTCTGTGATCTTTTTTGCTGCCTCGTTCAGCGTCATGACGTTGTCCAATATGTATCGACCCGGGATGAAGCCCGCTTGGTCGATGTGAAAACAATTGTTCGTTAATTTGGTGATTCTCTTTGCAAGCGCCTTGGCGAGGATTTTGTACGGCGTGGTTAGTAGGGAGATAGGTCTGTAATTTTTCAGGTCTTCTTTGTCTCCCTTCTTGTACAGCAGTGAAACCACGTTGGTGCTTAGTTCCTTTCCTAGACCACCTTTGCGCATGCTCTCGTTGAAGAAGTCGAGTAGGTCCTCTCCCAGGGTTGGCCAAAAGCTGCTCCAAAACTCCTTGGAGAGGTCGTCGATGCCCGGGGCTTTGTCATTTCCCATCTGGTTCAAGGCTGTGTGCAATTCGTCCAAAGACAGTGGTTTGTCCAGGCCTTCCGCCTGATTCGTCGAAATGGTTTTATCAAGGTATGACAGCATCAGTTGGCGGGCTGCTAGGTTCGTTGTTGTCGGGGGTGAGGGGGTCTTAGATTTTTACAGATCTGCGTAAAAGGATCTGGCTATCCCTACCATCTCAGGGCCTGCTGTTTTTGGGTTCCCTGCATCCGATGGGTCTTTGAGTGCCTCTATCATGTTGTTCCTAAGCATTCGCCTTGATTTTGGAGAAGAAGAATTTTGTTATAGCCTCGTTGAGTGCGTAGTCTGTCATCCTCGCACGTATTTGCAGTCCTCTGAGTTCCCATCTTCTCCATTCGTTTAGTTCTTTTTTGGTGTTGTCCAGTAGCTGTTGGTAGAAAGTGCTGGTTGGATCCTCCGCCAGATTCTCTTCTGCGACGGCCGTCGCGAATTGGAGTTCTTCCCTTCTTCTTTTGCTGTCTCTGGCAATAGCTCTTGATTCCGCTGAGACTGTCTGTGTTAATTCTGTGTAGTTGTCAATGAACCATTGGTGGCTGTTTGTCCTCCTTGATTCTCGCTGTTTGTTGATGGCCCAATTTTCTTGGACTGTCGCCGACAGTCTTTCGGTTTTTAACAGCGAGTTGTTAAGTTTGAAGAATCCTTGTCCTGTCTGAACTGGTATGTTGAAGTTGAGCAGCATCTGGATGGGTTTGTGATCCAGTCCTTTGAAGGCTGCTGATGGGAGGATTTCGGCCTCTTTGACTGTCCCGAGTAGGCTCTCGGATATGAGGAAGAAATCAATCCTGGACAGTGAAGTCTGGTTGGCTTGGTTCCTCCTTATTCGGGAAAAGTTTTTCTTGTTCGGGTGCAGTGCCCTGAGGGGGTCGCAGAGTTCGAATTCGGTCATCAGGTTTCGAATCCGGGTGCCCGCTCTTGTGGGTCCCATTAGTATCGTTCTCGAGATCCGGTCCATGTTTGGGTCCGGGGTTGTGTTCCAGTCCCCTGTGGCCATCTGCGCAGTCTTCACTTTCTGATCCCCCCCTAACCCCTTCGAGGGTGTGCTTGGGAGTAGTTTTCAAAGACTAGATATCTGCCTTTAATTTGCGCTATGTTGCCCTTCATCAGCCGCCATCCATCTTTGGAATTCTTCTGACGTCTAGCACGTTTCGGAGGCTCCTCTTCCTTTTCCATCTTCCCCATTAGCTTGCTCTATTCTTCCCCGATCTGAGTGTCCGCGATTTCCCTGGCTTCCTCACAGGATCCCTTGGCTGAGGTCTTCTTCTTGCCTATTGCTTCATTGCATCTGGCCCTCATTTCCTTGAATCTGGCCCTCCGGATTGCCCATAAGGTTGATCTCTTGATAAGGTCCGCTATTTTCCATATTATCTGTTGCTGCATTTCATCTTTGCAACCAATCTTTTGACACTGTGGACCTGTTCTCTGCTCTGCGCCTTTCTCCACTGCTCTTCCCCCCTTTCATCCCTTCCCCCTCCTGTGTGCCTGGCACCCCCAAATGAAACCCCTTGGGTTACCCTGGTTCTGTGCTACATTCTTCCGCCAAATAGAAATGCACGGTCATTACACCTGCATCTGTCCTGGAAGTTGTTCCAAATACAGCCATATTCTATTTGGGGGAAGACGGAAGTAAGTACTCGGGGCCCTTCGTTCTCCTTGGACACTAACATTGGGTCAGGTTAACTGTCTGCTGGTAATGATTGGAGCTATGGAATACCATATGTGTGCCTATCACTTTTTTGTGCCCATCTCTTCAATCCGTTAACCTATAATTTGGCGACCATTAGTAAAGCGATGCAACGGGGAAAAAAGCAGAGGTCTCTCTAATTCTCTGGGATTCTGATAATTGTTGGAACCATGGAGGATGGAATACCGTTTGTGTGCCTTTCACTTTTCTGCTGATAATTTCCCCCCATGCCCCTATTTTTTCAAAAGGGCCTCGGCCTTGAGATATCATCATTGAACTGATCGGCCCCAAGTAATTCAGAATTTATTTTATTCTGTGCATCTGATTGTATATCTGTATTTCAACAGTTCATGGGTGTACCAACTAAACTAGGTCCCCTATTTTGGGAACACAAAAGAGTTGGACCAGGTTGACTGTCTGCTCATACTGTTTGGAACAATGGAATATGGTCTGTGTGCATGCCACTCTTCTGTTCTCAGTTTCTGCGCTTCGATTGTTTTGGGAGCACAAAAGATTTACCGATGATGGCGTTGCCCCGTCTCGCATCTGTGTTGTCTTTGGCAGTTTGACTGTTGCATTGGGCCTGCTGAAGGTCAGCAAAGTACCATGGAGAAGTGTGGAATCTTCCAGATGCTGGATGCAGCTCTGGAAGGCTATTCGGCTGCAGTGATCGCTTATGGTCAAACAGGGTCAGGAAAGACGTATACTATGCTTGGGAAAGAGGAGGTATTGACGTCGATGAAAAACAGAGGGATTAAATAGCGAGTAATAAATATGCCGTATTATGCACACTATTGAAGCTCAGTGATTTGTACTGATGATGGATGCATTTGGAACGATACGATAAAAGAAGAGTCCGGACGAATGTAATAACCGCACAGGTGCTATGGCATGTTCAACACCGAGGCAATCATAACATGTCACGTCTCGTGAGAAACAAGAAGTAGAAGAATCGAGGAGGATGGTAGACAACAAGAAAACAGACCCATGACAAATCCAGTAAACGACACGAACATGACAGAAGCCATGGAGAAAGAGTAGACAAACGCACAATCCGCGCGCACTGAAATAAACTATCTTAGATCAGATGTCCGTGCAAAGATTGGAATCACATTCATCATGTGATGCTGACGTCGATGAAAAACAGAAGGATTAAATAGTAAATAACAAATATGGCAATATGCAGTCTTATGCACACCATTGAACCTCAGCAATTTGTACCAGGGCTGCACTTCCGGTCCGACCGGCGGCCCTCCCTCCATCTGGAACAGTTCTGGTCGGACCGGCCGGTCGACCGGCCCGTCTCCCTCCCGGTTGGTCCCAGCGCATCCCAGTTGGGGGGAGGTACAGGGCTAAAAACGCCGCCGGAGGCCTCCTGCGACCCTGTTTGAAGGGACCGACATTAAAAAAATCGGAAAACCGGGTCTGGTAGGGCACGTTTTTGTGGTTGAAAAGGGCGGCCGATCTGGGCCTCGCCGATCTCACGAGACCGGTGGCCCAGATCGACCGCCCTTTTGAAAAACCTTAGGCCGGAGCTACAAGCCGGATTTTCCCTTTCCCCTACCCCTGCTCGCTCCTCCCGCCGCCCCCATACACCCACACTTTCGAACTCGCCGCTGCCCTGCGACCATCGACGCGGTTCGTCATTCCCGTCTGCTGTGCCCTGCGGCCATCAACACCGGTGCCCTGCGACCATCGACGCCGCTGCCCTGCACCATCTGGTGAAGGCTTAGACGCTCTTCTTCTTCTTCTTCTTCTTCTTCTGCGCGCGCGCGCGCGAGAGAGAGAGAGAGAGAGAGAGAGAGAGAGAGAGAGAGAGAGAGAGAGAGAGAGAGAGAGAGAGAGAGAGAGAGAGAGAG